AGACAGACTTTAATATATGTAAGATGATAACAAAATGAAATGTGAATATTGGAAAAGCCTTTATCATCATATATCATTGATACAATAATTTTTCTGATAGATCAAGAATAAAGTATAACACATTATTTTCTGGATACTTATGGAAGCTTTCAATAAAATCCAGAAAAAAACGGGAACTTCTAAACATCTTTACGATAATGCTTTTCTGCATTTTTATCCTTTCTTTTCGACGAAGCTCAATTATTTCAAAAATGAAAGTGTTTTCGGTGAATTTTCCTGAAACGGACGATTTCAGTATAAAAATTCATAATCTAGTAAGGTGATTGTAACTTATTTGATAAATAGTTTATCATAATATCATAAACATTTTATCAGTTGACACATTTTCGATATCTTGGAAAGAGGCCAAGAAAAATTAGTTGAAACTTGACAGTGTGGGAGTCCTTCCTTTTTTTACGTTATACAGTATTTTTTTGTAACTCTTATCGAGTATAAATTATACAGTAATTTATAACTTATACTCGATAAGAGTTACAAAAAAATTACTGTTCGGTCAATCTCGTAAGAGCTTTATGAAATACTGAACCATTACTTGACTTATCACTGAAAAACTATCAAAGAGAAGTACAAATGATGGTTTCAATACTATTTTACAAAGTCCAAAACTCAAAACCCTGCAAAAACTAGGGAAATGAACATGCTTCCTTTACCGAACAATATAATTTTAGAAGAACGGTATTCTGAAATTTGAGTAAAACAGAAAAAAGAAAAAAACAGTTTACATCAAGCACATTACTATTTCTTTCTCGCTCAAAGTCAGTTTAGACAACTTTATGAGTCAACTGATGATGACGTGGCAATGTATTACAGTACTTTCTCATATTACACATAGCCTTTGACTTTATGTTTTGTGTAGTAGAGAAAAAAAACGAAAGAATGATGGAAAACCGGGTTGAAATAAATAAATTTAGGAAGAAAGACAGAGGCAAAGAACTGCCAGATGTGTTGGATTTGACGGAAATGAAGTGAGGAAGAAAGCGAAGATAGAAAAACCATTCATCCAGCTGATGAAAATGAATGGGAGAGTGGAAAAGAGCAAATGAGGATCAGATGTTGAACATTCAACTAGTTTCCAGATACCATTTTGATTTCCTTTCAGTTTTTCAATTCCGATTTCAACTTCCATTTTTCTTTTCGTGCGTTCGTTGTTTCTTTTGATTTCTCGATCTCCTGTATACTCAACCTTGGTTTAGATAATAACTCTATGAATTTATAGAACAAAACCCAAAAAGTCCCCAATGCAAAAAAAATAATAAACCGGATTCTTCATTCCAATACTTTACATTCCGCTAAAAACCAACTACTGAGGATTCTCCTGATGAATAAATAATATACAGTAACGCTGAAACAGGAATATTCACAAAATGCAGCAGACACAAAATTCTTGTTTTCTCCAAATTTTATTTTTCAGGTACGGAGGATTTTGGTCGCTATGAGAGTCGGAAATATCTGAGTTGTTTCCATTATATCCAACATTCCCATTACCGGTTCATAAAAGGAGCCATTCATAAAAGGAGCCATCATAAAAGGAGCCATGACAGTAATCCAAGTGTTTTCCCCCCAAATTTCGTTTGATCCTGAAAGTGGAAGCTTTGAAGTTGTTGATAAAAAACTGTAAAAAACGAATAGAGCCTCATCTCAAATTATTTCAGAATTGTTGACATCTTTTTTATACTTCAGAAATAGGTCATAATGAAAAATGAGTCAAAACATTTGGAACGCTTCACGAATTTGCGTGTCTACGACCCTAATCTTCAGTTTTTGTCGAAAGATGTTTCCAAGTAAGTGGATTCACTTTTCTGTTATATCGGAACGTCGTTGCGCCATGTTTCGATGTCTGCGTCTCTCCCCACACAAAACATAGTGGTTGACGCGAACCCGGTTTTTGTCGGTACACTGGTTACCCCTACACCCGGCACCACGTCCTCTCTGAATCGCTTCTTCGGCTTATTAGCTAAGATCAAAGTGTAGTATCTGTTCTTATCGTATTAACCTACGGTATACACTCGAATGAGTGTAATAAAGGTTATATGATTTTTGGAACCTAGGAAAGACTCGGGGCTTGCTCCGACTTTCCAAGGGTCGTCCTGGCGTTGCACTGCTGCCGGGCTCGGCCTAGTCCCCGTGGGGACAACAATAACTAATCGGTGACTGGAAAAGCATTGCATCTTCAAAAAGTCTATACGGTTACAGAGGATGATAGCAATGGAATTATGAGACAATATCAGAGAGGTTTCTAGTTCTATGTTATTCAGTTTTCAAAAAATGCATTTACAATAAATGCGGTTCAAATATATACTTTTCAATATAATTTTACACCGGGTACGGTAAGCAATAGTTTCAAAATTCAGTTAATTTCTGATCAGGTTATCATGAAAAAAGAGTCAAAAAATTTGGAACGCTTCACGAATTTGCGTGTCATCCTTGCGCAGGGGCCATG